ATTACGGAGTAAATAAAGGACATTAGATGAAATCTTTATAACGAAAGATACTGCAAATTAAGTCGGCGAGTTTTATTTAACAATCCAGAGATCGTACCCGAAGGATTTATAAAATAATCGAAGTTGATTTAGTAAAAGCGTAACAATACCTTAATTTTCAGAATCATTTTATTCCAGTACTATAGATTTCAATTGTTTGTCCGTCAACAACTATTTCACATAATTTTGTTATATTTTGGGAATACAAATTTATATGCCTTAACCTTAAACTTTTATGTGAAAATTGTTTATAAATCCTCTTTTTGAATGCAAAATATGGCAACTCCCTATAATTACGATATCCAACACTGTCCAGCACACGAGCAAAATAGGAGAATAATAAGGAAAATATGTCTGGAAAATTTTAGAAAATTGTGACAAAGATCTATGTAACATTAAATCTAATATTTCGATATTTCAATGACCGAAATTAAGTTGTTTACAAATGGAAGAGGTAATAAATACAAGTATTTGAAAACACGTTGGCATTTATTAACACTTCTTCATGCTTAAATGATATTGAATTTGTAGGTTGATATCGAAGCTGAGGATTTCAATGAGCTGGAGTCTAGGCTTTATAGTCAAATACACCATGGGATTCCCGAATCCCCAACGGGGGACTTGACAAAGATTTACCAAGTAGGTCACCAAAGCGAAAAGAATGAAGAAAGTTCTGCAGAACGCATTGTTACTGAAAAAAGCATTGTAAACTTACATATGAAATCTTCAACTTTGTCCGCTAAACGTTACTGGGGAAAGAATGTAAGAAGCTCTGAAATAAGTGATGCACTGTCTAAATCCGCAACAAGCTGTGGAAAAACTCAAAACTTAACAAAAATCAGTGATGGTGACATACAAAAAAAGAAGTAATTATAAATTCAATATTAATTTAACTTTTGTTTCAGTAAAAACTGTGACGAAGGATGGAAGTCTACAAGAACACGGGGAGAGTATAAATTGTGTGAAATTTTCGTCGGAAAAAGAAACACAAAGTGTTAAAAATATCAAAGATGAATTAAAAGAACCACAACTAAAAAATAAAATTACTACAAGTAGAGATCTGCGCATAAATCCCGCTGCCGTCATATTAATTTCGGAACCAAAATTGAGAAAGAAAAAAAATATTCAACATGCTGCTCGATATGGCCCATTTGATCTACAGGAAAATAAATTACAAAAGGTCTTAAAAGTAAGAGCAAAAAAGCAAAAGTCTAAAAGAGTTCGAAACAAAAAACGCAAAGAACTATATCAAGAACAAACTATTGTGCTTGATTCTTCAAATAGTTCTGATGACGATGTAGTTTTAATACCAGCAAAGCCACCACTTACTATCACAGTTTCAGACAGTGACAACGAGGATAATCGCTTTGAGTCGTGCGGACCCCAACTCGAAGAAGAAAATGCAATGGATGCCTCTGACATTGCATTAGATAGCAAGCAACACCCGATCGATTTCATAAAACCAACTGACACCCATAATAACACCTCTTACGAGACAAACGAAAAGCGTACTGATCCGGCACTTAGTCGGTGTACATCACCTTGCTCTGTATTATCATCAGATGACTTTATTGGGCAGTCAGACCGCTGCCGGTTAGAAGAAGGAAGTTTTATTGCGGATGACCAAGACTTAGTCCTTTTAACAGCAGACGTGGACAGCCTGATACACACAGCAAAATTACAACCTGATAATGTAAACAAGCATCGGATTGCATCAAATGCTTCCTCAACTGAAGATGTAATGTGTACAGCTGAGTTTTCTGCGCCATTATCAAATTCATTTAGTTTAAAAGAAACCATGAGCTCCAATTCATTGGATCAGCGGGGAAAATATCGTGTAGAACAAACGGATTTCAGAGCTTTAGATGTTTATGAAAGTGAATCTGACGTAGCAGATAGTGTTTACTCTAAAGGTAAAAGATGCGTTAGAACAATAGTGAATGCTATTTGCAGTAGTTCCGATGCCGATGAAGGCCAAAAACCTCCATCCAACCAAAAGATTAAGCGGTTTAGCAAACGTAGAAATTCTACTTGTAACCGCAGTTCTGTAGAACTTAGAAGCTATGCAAGCACAGATGATGAAGGTCATGGCGTGCCTACTACTTCAGTTCCATTTATTTTATATGGCTCGGCGGTCGAACGTTCCAGTACAAAGCGCACACGTTCACAATCTTTAAATCTACGCAGAGTTTCAACTAGTGCTGAAGATAGGACGGGCAACATGTCTGACACAGAATTTATAGCAACATTGAATAGATTAGTACAAGTATGTAAAGATGTGCCAAACAAAGATATGGGAAAAAATATTAATGAAGTAAATCTTGGTGAAAATGATGTAACTGAAGAAAGCAAATCACTTGTTCAAGAAAATAAATCAATATCAGAAACTCTACGAATAGTTGAAACTGAGAAAGAAAGTCTACGATCTGTGCAATATCAATCAGAAGCTGTTCCAGACGAGGCCATGGCTGGATTAGACAGAATTTTTGCTTCTATTGATAATTTGGCTGAACCAGAAGTAGAAATGACATCAAAGGATGTCGAAAGTTGTTCAGATGATGATGTTGAAGTTCTAAACCAGACATCACCTACAATAAATGTAGTAAAATATACTGATAACCGAAACGTTTTGCCCATTCGCCACATTGTTTATAATGACCGCAATCCGAGTTCTGGTGGTATAGGTTGGAATGAGGAAATGATAAAATTTTATAATTTATCTTGGCACGGTGAGCGATTTACGCTGGTTGGAGCGCAAAATTTAATGGAAAGTAAGTAAAAGCAATATTTAAATTATACAAATTATCTTTCTTTTAAATAATTTATTTTAGATATTATTTGTAGACCTTTGTAGCGAGAAATTGTCATAAATATAATAAACGTTCAATCTAATATAATTTTTCATTATTTGAATATTCGCAGAGGACCGCAAATTATGGAAAATTTCCAATGAAGACAAGTTTCCGAAAACGCGTCCGTATAGCAATTTAAAATGCTTTAACTGCTGTGAATTTGGACATACTCGCGCTAAATGTAGGCGACCTAAAAAAACACCTGTATGTTACATGTGTGGAGAATGTGGTCATTTCGAGCCACGTTGTCCAAATACAATGTGCCTTAGAGTATGTTGATTTGCTTAATTAGATGGTAAAATACTTGTTATCAATCCTATATATATTTTCAGTGTGGTAATAAAACTCAAGTGTATACAAAAGGTTGCAATGCCTGCACATTCCAAAACCGACTAATTTGTCCGATTTGCAAGGTTCGTGGTCATTCGATTAATCTCTGTCCAGACAAATGGCGTCGTTACCATTCCACGGTAAGTTTTAAAAACTTTAAAGACTTGATAACATATTTCAAAATGAGAAATCTTGATTACGTAGACACAACCAAATGCTCATCCCGTTTGCCGTTTGGAATTTAATAAGCGAAAAATGTGTTGCATATGTGGTGGAATCGGTCATTTGTCCGATACATGTCGCAGTGCTGTACGTTTTATGGAATATCCAGTTATTGTCAGTCATGTAAAGTCGCATCAAAAGTCATACAACGATATATCGTTTAAGTCTCCATGTATTGGACTTGCTCTTAACTTGCTTTATAGACCTCGGGACACTGTCATTTTTCGTATGGCTGAGAAAACCGGATCCAACGGTTATTATGCCCGTTTTATGAAATCAGTTGGTTTAGGCTGTTTGCTAAAACGCAAAAGACCAAATTATTATTTTCCACCATCCGAAAAACCTGCAAAGCAAGCTCGAAGTGGCACAGTGGAGTATAAGCAGAATTTATATTGCCCTGCTGCAAGAGAAGGTATACAACCCGCTGATATTACAAATTGTGAAATTGTTACAGGAGAAAAAGGTCCAAATCAGGTATAAATAATAGTGATTAAGGTAAATGGAGAAAATAACCGATATTTTTTTTTACAAATTTAGGTACAAGAAGTAAGTGGTAGTGTGGTATCGATAGAAGACACCTCACATGGACAATCAAATTCCTTAGCTGAAGAGGGAGCTAATGAAAGCGGTATATATAAAAAAGCAGAGGTTGAAATCGTAGACAAAAAACTTATAAATGAAAATAACTTCAAAGTACCTAATGATATTCCTACAACAATCATTTCCCAACAATTGATTCAAAACAAAGATTGCTTAACAGCGGATTCTGACTCAAATTATAGTTTCTCAGACCATTTTGAAGTCTCTCGAAGTGATGTGAACAGGGATCAAATTGTGATCGCAGTGGAAAAACCCGAAGCTGAGCTACTATCTACAACTTTACTAGTTAACCAAACACCAGCAGCGAGTCGAGTTCGTGAAATGGAACCTCTGCCCGATTTTATACCATTATCAAGTATCAATGCTTTTAACGTGAACGACAATCCAGATAATTTCGACCCTCAAGCAGGAATATCTCGACGTTTCGTTGCTGCATACTCCGACGATGAAAATGGAGAAGAAAAAGAAGAAGAATCACCTAATAAAGCATGTGAAGCGAAAATATATCTCACCAATTTCCATAGTAACTATTTGTTGTCGCCAGAGGGTCACAACTTTTTAGTTCGAAAATCCAAAGATTGTAACATTAAAGCTAGACTCGACTGGACCTCTGTCGGACATGTATTGGTCATATTTGGATTTCCCAATGACCAGGATACATTTCACAAAGCCTTACTTGTTAAGAGTCATGAATTAATGAATGAAATTAATGATAAACAATCAAACGGTATTAAGGTACCAAAACGTGTGGATGCGTTAATTCGTTTTCTTCGTGAAAATATCTCCCAGCTACAGGGCGATTTAGGCGATGTGAATGATTTACAACAGCGTATTAAAAGCTTGGAAAGGACGAATACCAAATCGAATATGAAAATAGCAGAAAAAAATCGACGTGTGCTTAATATGATTTTATTGGGACAAGCTGGTCTCTGCGATGGCGACAAGCATTTGAGTAGACTTTTGGATAACTTGAAATCTCTTATTAATGATTATCAAATTGATAATCTGGTCCCGCAGTCGCTACGTGAAGAGATTGACTGTCACTCAAAGGTAATCTTTACTTCATATCGACATGATAATTATCCCGAACTTATTAAAGCTTACAATAATTTATCAAAAAACCAAAAAGCCATTGTAAGCATTGATCCATTATTACTGGGACAAAAAATACTTGATACAAGTCTAACAGCTGAGCAGAAATCAAGACTCGAGCAACCAACAACAATGATGTCAACGCAACATGTCAACAACGCAGCAATGACAAAGAAATCTGACATCAACATACCTAATTCTCCCTATTTTTCAAAAGGTAAATTCGCTGGTAAACATCAACATTTGGGTCAATCATCCCTATTACCCCAATATATATCGAAGGCAAAGAATGTAACACCCAGCGCAACACAAACTCGCATTACATTAGAAACGAATACATCTACCGCAACTAAGAGACACAATTTAGCGGTCCCTCCTTTCCTTAACCCTGAAAAAAAATACACAACTATAACAAAGGCCAAAGAAGGGATTTTTAATCGACAGAGAGCGTTGACACATTCAAAAGTTAATAATACAACTGCATTAACTGGAGGCCCTCACAACCGGACCAATAACCCAGTTATCGCCAAACGCGCCCCCTCAAAGGGACCTTCGGTATTTTGGTCTCGCGAAGCAATGCGTTATTTAGACGATTGTATTCAAATGTCTGAATCGAATTCGGAGTTGTTGCAAAAACTAAAACGCATACAGTCAAAATCTGTAGAAGGGGCGCTCTCATACAATGATTATCGGGCTGTTATCAAATTACATGGCGCCATGGTAGGGATATAAGAAATGGTGACATGCTTTGCAATAACTATTTCAATTTGCAAAGCTGTACATACAACTGATGAAAGAATATTGACTTTAAGCACACCAAAATATAAAAATTAAATTGAGTATAAATAAATATGAATTTTCAACTTTTGTTTTATTACATATAAACAATTTATTAGGCGAAAAGATAAAACTCTAAATATAATACCAAGAGCCACAAAATAGCCGGTTCTTTGCATCGGAGCTGAAACGGATTTTATCTGGCCAAGGGCTGTCACCCTTTCGCCGACCTAACCCGGTTTAGGTCAACAGGTAACATTAATTTAAGTGCACCAATTGAACAACATCTCGCTGGCCTTAGGACCCATAGGGAGTGGTCCACAAGTTACGTGGCCCCATGCTGCAGCGCCCAAATGTTCTCCCAGCATCCATGGCAGTGCCTTTAGCACCTTTACCCAAAGTCTCACGGAGTTCCCTGCTGCATGACTCCCACAAATCCCCACCACAACCATCTCCTCTTTCTCACCCCGTGAGTGGATTCAACGTGCGGCATCCAATCCAGCTTGTAGTTCAGCAACAAAACACTACATCCACGCATCACTCTCTCACCCTTCGTATCACGAAAACATCCCCCGAAACATACACGACTGTTGCAATACATATGCAATATATGAGCCAGGAACAACTGTCAACATTCTCCGCAAGGACCGCGAGTGAGACAATGGCGGAGGTTTAGCGTGCTTCTTACAAAACATCGTGCAGTATCGTTTTATTGATGGCGACATCGACAACGGGAATATTACACTCGAATGTCGGCATAGCTATCCGGGCAGGCGATGTCGAGGTCGAGATATTTAATATATAAATTCCTCCTGTTACAAGTTGTTTAGCCCTGATTTAGGTGCGCTACTCAGAGGCGAAAACTGTTTGGTCTTGGGCAGACCTTCAGACTTTGTTTCCGCGAACCACTGGAAATCTGTTAAAAATAAAAAGGCTTACTGGTCCGGTTTCACGGAATTTATTGAGAACGCCCTCAGTGCTCTCCCCCACTTCATCAGACGCCTCTGACAGTGAACGTTCATTCTGCAATATTGTCGAAATGGCTTCCGCCCCCTTCATCCCTACTGGTCGAATTGCGAAAATCCACTCTAATTTTCCGACGGAAGTGGCGGTTTTAGCATAAAGGCGCGACACCATTCGTAACGCCAATCCCGGTAATCCTCTGATCATAGATTTAAGCCTAGCGATTCTACAAGTTGACAATTATTACAAGTGGCAAAAGTGGGAGGAGTACTTAAGATCCTGCTATCTCTCTTCTGGGGCAACCAACATGTGGGTTACCTCAAAATCGTTGTCTAACCCGAAGAGACGCAATTACCGGGTGGGGTGTAGTCAAGCTTCTGGGTATGCGATTACAGTTGCCTTTCACCCTGGAAACATGAGCAACCAACCCGTGTTGAGCCTGGGGTCACGGCTAATGAGAGAGGAAGTTTCAGTGGAGCCACCCCGACTTATTCGATTTAAGGGTCCGCTGAAGTCTAATTTTAAACTTACTCGCCTATTGAAACCCACAACGTAGAAACTAGCTCCAATAAAATTAAAATAGCAAAGCCTTGAATGAGATGCCCGTTTTCTTTTGAGGACCCGCAAGCGAATTAAGGATAATTTGAGAGCATGCATCTGAAGTGTCCGGTCCCTTAATTGGGAGAATGCCGCTGCTCATCTTGATGCCCTCGTAAGAATAAAGAATAACATTACTGCCGTTCAAGAAGTGTGATGGTCGGGACAAGGACGAAAGCGAGTGAGTTCAAGGAATGTGGGTCCTTGTGAAATTTACTACATCGGCCATATCAAGCACCGCAAATTTGATGTTGGATTTGTGGTGGAGGAGAGACTCCGTCGTCGAGTACTGGCATTCACTCCGGTGGATGAAAGTCTTGCCATATCCGAATAAATGCCAAATTTTTCAATATATCGCTCACGGCCGACGGAAAGAAGGATGATTTGGTCAAAGACGCCTTATGTGAGCTTCTAGAGCATACTTACGAGCGCTTCTGCCGACAAAATGCCAACATTGTGCTTGGCGATCTCAATGCCAGGGTGGGCAAAGAAGGTACCTTTGGCAGGGCTGTCGGTAAAATTCAGCCTTCACAACGAAACATTCCCTAATGGGTTGAGGTTAATCGACTACGCCGGGGCCCGAAATATGGTTGCCTGTAGTACTATAGTAAAAATATATCAAGCTACTTGGCTGTTCGAACACAAAACCAGATCGATCATATCGTAATTCTCTGAAGACACTTTCTTGTTGCAGCAAAGATACGCATGCGCCTCTGTGTATAGAAGAACGCCCGTTAACAAACACAAGAGAAGTTCGACATCGAAAAGCTGCAGTCACAACAGACTGCCGAACGGTTTTCTACTCGACTTTCTGACAGCACTCATCAGCATCTCGGCATACGAGAACTGTGGGACGGCATATCAAGCTCCCTATGTACAGCTGAAAACAAAACTATTGGATCTCGTAAAGGTCGCAAAAACAGCTGGAACGATGAGGACTGCCATGGCGCAGTGGAGAGAAAACTGACCGCCTACCTCGCATAGGTATGATCGATCACAACACGTGCGGGATAGGATAGATACCGGCAGCTGAAGGGGGGAGCAAGACGCATCGGCAGACAAAAAAGAAAGAGGCCGATATGCGTGAATATGAAGAGCTTAAGAAGCTGGCCGACAAAGGTAATGAAACGCCGACTTTCAGAAGGTTTCAAGATCGGAGTAGACTCTTGTAGGACACAAAGAGGGGATCTAGCCACCGTACCTAGAGTATATTGTATTTATGGAGAGAACACTTCTTCAGCCTGCTGAATAACAGTGAAAACGGAGTAACCAGAGTTGATGAACCCGAAATCCTAATCGATGACGATTTAAAAGCCGTTCCATTACCTGACCATGCAGAAGTTCGAATAGCAAAAGCCCACTTAAACAATAACAAAGCGTCTGGAGCTGACGGACTACCGACAGAACTATTCAAACGTTGCGGTGAAGAGCTGACAAGGTGCATGCATTAGCTAGTTTGCAGAACATGGGCGGACGAAAGCATGCCGGACGATTGGACTTTAAGTGTGCTCTGCCCAATCCATAAAAAAGGGGACCCCACAGTCTGGCCAATTGTCGTGGGATAAGCCTCTTTAATATCGGCTATAAGGTCTTATCAAGCGTATTGTATGACAGACTAAAGCCAACCGTCAACAAACTGGTTTGACCTTATGGGACCTTGTAAGTCAACCATTTACCAGATATTCACCATGCGCCAAAACTTAAAAAGGACCCGTGAAAAGAAGATTGACACTCACCACCTCTTCGTCGATTTTAAAGCAGCCTTGGACAGCACGAATAGGGGCTGCCTTTCAGCCGCTATGTCTGAATTTTATATCCCCGCAAAACTTATACGGCTGTGTAAACTGACCTTGAGCCACAGTGAAAGCTCCGTCAGGATCGGGAGGACCTCTCCGAGCTGCTCGATACCAAACGTGGCTTCAGACAAGGCGACTCCTTGTTGTGAGACTTCTTAAATTTGATGCTCTAGAAAATAATATGAGCTGCAGAGCTGATAGAGAAGGTACAACCTTCTATAAGGGTGTACAGCTACTGCAGTCCGATGATATTGACATTATTGGCCTCAACAACCGTGTCGTGAGTTCTGCTTTCTAGAGACTGGATAAGGAGGCGAAGGATACGGCTGTGGTAGTTAACGAAGGCAAGACGAAATATCTCCTGTCATCACACAAATAGTCATATCATTCGCGTTATTTCGTCTATCTATTAACTATCATCAACACCAATAATAATGTCAGCCTTGAAATCCAGCGCAACAGGTGCTACTTTGGACTGAGTAGCCAATTGAAAAGTAAAGTCCTCTCCTGACGAACGAAAACCGAATTCTATAAGCCCCTCATCGTTCCCGCCCTGCTATATAGTGCGGAGGCATGGACGTCTGATTAGTCGGCGTTAGGAGTTTTCGAGAGAAAAGTGTTGCGTTAGATTTTTGGTCATTTGTGCATTGGCAACAGCGAAAATCGCAGACGATGGAACGATGAGCTGTTCGAGTTATACGGCGACATTGACTTAGTTCAGCGAATCAAGAAGAAGCGGTTACGCTGGCTAGGTTATGTAGTTCGGATGGATGAAAGCACTAAAGTTTTTAAAGTTCCCGATGCCGTACCCGCCGGTGGATGCAGAGGAAGAGGAAGATCTTCATTCCGTGGGAAAGACCAGGTAAAGAAAAACCTGGCTGTACTTGGTATTTCCAATTGCTGCCCAACAGTAAAAAGATGAAACGAATGATGTAATGTTGTTAATTTGGCTATAATCGCGTAAACGGTGTCTACGCCAGTAAAATATTTTAGCCGACTCGTCACATTGCATCCTTCGGTAGAGAAAATGAAGAGATGAGTAACCCGCCGCCTGCGCAAACTGTCAAACACCAGTGCGGAGCTTGATCTCGCCAGGAAAGAGGATCAGACGAAAGCCTCCAAATCCATTGGCTCCGACGGAATAAGCATGATGATGCTAAAACATATAGGAGCAGACTTCGTCACCAAGGTCCTCAATTTGTCTTTGACTACCCTAAAAATACCCGATGTGTGGAAAAGAGTGCGGTGGTCACGCTACTCAAACCAAGGAAACTGGACAACAAAAGAGCGTCTTATCGGACGATAACTGCTCCCGACTTTCACTCACCTCCGAGCCCAGCAGCACATCAGGACGGCTTCAGCAAAGTGCACAGCACATTAACTACGCTTAACACCATAAACACTCCTATAGTTAATAGTCCCGACCCTGTGCGCGAACTGTCCTGGTGGCACTGGATGTGTCAAAAGCTTTTGACACCATCAATCATTCAGTGCTGCTATCGCAGATTAAGTTGGATCATGCGCTACCTGAGTGGTCGTAAATCAAAGGTAGCTTTTCGAGGTAACATATTGAAACAAAGAAAAATTAATAATGGGATTTTGCAGGGTGGTCTTCTCCCCACTATTGTTTAATTTCAATATTTCGAAACTCCCTCTACCACCAGAAGGCCAGGCTATTGATGACCTTTGTTCGAAAGTGAGCGGTTATCTCGCTGACCTGTTCCACTTCT